GAGCCGGGGCGCGCGCTGGCGGGCGGCGTCGCGGCTGCGAAGAACGTCTGTAAAAGGCGAACAGGTGCTTCGCGTCAGGACAGCGAAAGCAGGCAGAGCTAGAGTATAACGTCATACTGAGGTCTTAGTAGCGCGAACGATGGATCCGCAAGTCTCAGGGTAACCAGAAAACCCAGGTGCCAGCACCAGGCGTCGCGGCGGCCCCCGCAGCCGGCGCCCCAGCCAGCCCGTCCCCGCGCCTTGAGCCGGCTCCTCGACGCCTCCAGCTGCTTGTGGCTCCTGAACCCGTGCTTCCCTAGCTCCCTGGCCTCCGCCTCCTTCGCCTTCTCCTGCTGCTTGCGCGCCCTGCCCTCCTCCTTTCGCCGCCGCTCCTCTTCTTTGTCCGCCTCGCGCCGCGCCTTCTCCTCGGCCTTGCGCGCGCGCTCGGCCTCGCGCTCGGCCTCCTTCCTGCGAAGTGGGTTGCGTGCGTGTGCAAGCAAGACAGCGTGCGGTGCATGTGAGAGAGGGCAGTGATCGGAGGGGGTTCCAGGACGCGCGAATGGAGCACCCAAAGCAAGACGTACGTGCAAGCTTGCGTTGCGTTGCAGCATGAGATTGGGACGGCGTCCGACAGTGCGAGGCCTGACAAGGGCCACCGGCGCGGGTTGAGAAGATTCACCTGGCGCGCTCCGCCTCCTTCTCCAACTTGGCTGCCGACTTTGCGGCCGACTTGCGCACGGACGCGGGCTGCGAGGCCGGCCGCTGTGAAGGTGCGGCGGGCGTGGCGGCCTGCGTGCTCATTGCGTCGCGGGCGCGGCGCGAGGGCAGGAGGGCGGCGCGTCAGGGCGGGCGCGCTGCAGCGCGTTGGCAGTGCAAAGACTCCTGATGCATCTCCATCTCGATGCACCAGCCACTCTTCTTAGAGCCCGCGTCCGCCAGTCAAACCCAAGTTAGTCTCCTCGCCCACCTCTGTCAATTGGGCGTCCTCCTCCATTGCCTCTGGGCCAGCAGCACCCCCGTCCGCCTCGGCACCAGACCCCGCCTCCTGCGCCACCGCCACCGCGGGCGCCACCGCCGCCGCGGCAGCCGCCACCTTGATCTGCCGCTTCCCGCCGCCGGCAGCCTTCCCAGCCGCGCCCTCGAGCGCCGCGCCCAGCTGCTCCCGGGCCGCCGCCAGGCCCGGGAGCTTCCGCAGCCGCGCGGCCGCGCGCGCTACCTTGCCCTCCAGCGCCTTGCCGGCGCCGTGCACTGACGCGGCTTCTACGAACGCTGCTGCCGCGCGCAGGCGGTCCTGCAGCGCCTTGCGGTGCTTGCGGTGGGGGTCCGCCGCGGCGCGCGCGGCCTTGGGTATGTGGCGGAGGTCCCGCAACTCCCAGCACCAGCAGTGCTCGGCCGCGGCGTCCTCGGCGGCGTCGAGGTTTGCCAGCGTGGCTGCGCGGCATGGGCGGCAGGGGCGCGCACGAGGGGTTGACGTGTGAGGCTGGCTGCTGACAGTGGAACAGGGGAACATCCGGCATAGCTGCACGCGACCAGGCTGGCGGGCTACCTCCGCAAGCCACCGTGTCCATGCAGCCCATGACGAATGGGTCGGCCGGCACCAGATCGCAAGTGCCGGCGCAAGAGCGCTGGCTGCGCGCGCCGCGCGTCCCTGGAGCGTAAGGCTCGGGGCCGCCCTGCTTACCGTCCTTAAGGCCGTACGACTTGCGCACGGCCAACTCCTGGACCAGGTTTCGCACCATCAGCGGCGTGACCGCCGCCGAGGCCGCAGCCGCGCCGCCGCCGCCGTCCCCGTCGGCTGCCGCCGCCGCGCGCGCCGAGTTGAGCGCTTCGCATACGCAGGCCGCCAGGGCGGTGAGGCCCTCGCTGCGCCCTTCCACCAGGACTGCCACCTGCAGTCCGACGCACGGTCGGCACAAGGGGATGGGCACCCAAGAATGCATCAGCAGAATGCGATAACCCGCCGACTGGGCGTGCCTGCCAACTTGGCGATTGCGCTGCCGGTCGCACAAAACCCCCGTACCGACCCACGGCGATCCAGCACAGCGAGGTCGTGGGCGCGCCGCGCGCCGTTCGCCATGCATCGCCGGCCCCTGCGCGCGCCTGACCTCGTTCTTGATGTCGGCCTGCAAGGCCTTGCCGCCCTTCGAGCTGGGCGCCTGCTGCTCGGCGGCCGCCCGCAGGTCGAGACGCTTAGCGAGCTCCAGCTCCAGCAGGGGTATTTCCTGGGAGAGGGGAGCAAGCGGGTCTGTCGCCGTGCGTACAAGGGTACAGCAGGCTTGCCTGCCTGGTGCGGCGGGGTATGGTGCTGGCGCGAGCTGGTTGGCACAAGCTGGTTGCAAGCAAGCGCATTGGGACTGAGAAGGTGAGTGAGACGCATGAAGGGCGGCAAGGCAAGCGAGGCGATTGGGGGAGGGAGCGCGAAAAAGCGTATTACAGGTTGGCGTCGCGAACGCGCACCTGCTCGCACTGCGCCTGCAGCGCTGCTTTTTCATCTGCAGACAGCGCTGGCGGTGCCTCTGCTGCTCCCTTGCCGCTCTTGCCAGTCTTAGTCGTGCTGGCGACGGCCGCCTGCGAAGCAAGGGGCTCGGGCGCCGCCAATGCGTCTGCAGCGGCCAGCGCCCCAGCTGCCATTGCCACAGGCGCCGCCACGTCACCACCCTTCTTTTGGGCGGCCGCAGGCTTGGCTGATTCCTGTGGCATCTCTGCTTGCTGCCCATCCATGTCCTGTCCCTGCTGCTGCTGCTGCTGCTGCTGCTGCTGCTGCTGCTGCTGCTGCTGCTGGTCTTGCTGCTCCTCCCGCTGCCCTTCCCCGGGCGAGCCGTCATCCAGGAGGTCGATCACCATGGGCTCGCCGCCCGCATCGCCACTGGCTGCTTCGGAGCCTGCACAAGCCTTTTTATCCGTATGCCGCTCAGCATGCTCACAGCCCAGCTTGCCCGCAGCTGGGCCGTCCTGCTTGGCGACATGGGGCGTTTGCAGCATCAGCAAGGCGTGCACAGCGTCGTTTGTATTGTGGCATGCCATGCAGGCCAGTCGGCATGCACTTCGCGACATACATGGCTACCATGCTGCATACGTTCCAAGCCGCGGCATTGCCAGGGTCAGGCCCCGCTTCACCTGCGCGTGCTCCGCAACGATTTGATCCATGGCCACAGCACGGGTGTCCCTGCAGCTGAACGGGTCATCCGGGGCCGACTTGCTGACGTGCGGCTTACTTCCAACGCCCTGGGTGCTGCGCTTGGCCGCTGCAGAGGAGAAGAGGGCTCGAATGTCTGTATCCTTTCCCATGCCTGGCTGAGGCACCTATCGCCGGCAGAGGACTAACATTGATATCATAAGCACGTTTTATCAGAGCAGCATCGCGCTGGAGGCCCTTCGGCTCAGATCAGAAGTAGAGTTCAAAGCTGGAAGGATGCAGGTGGCCCTACTTGGTTACTTTAAGCGTGCAAAGTACATGTTTTATTCACTGTCTCTATACCTCTGTGATGCATAGCGTTTTGATGGGCGTCTTTTGATCTGTGATGGCGGGAAAAAGCCGCCCACAGGCCACAAGGCCACAGCACAAGCAGCATTGTGAGTTACAGACAAGTTCAGGTACCTATGGGCCTGAAAATCGACATGCTATAAGAATGATTCATATTCAGGTCCCTGCCATGTAGCAACGGCCTTTTGTCGATCGCTGCTCAGCAATGGGCAATGCCAGGGTTGGCGTGGTGAAAGTAAGCGGCCTGCGACCATCAAGCACACTCAGAAACTGATGCAGGGTCTGTTTATCGGAACCTGATGCATCTGCGCAGCAATACTTCATCTGAGGCAGTCGGATAGGGACACACTGCGGACCCGTTGCGCCGGCGGCGGCACAGCACTTCACACGGTGAATCCAAAAACTGCAAGGCAACAGGCGCAGCAAACAGCGTATGGTTGGCACCACCGCAGATTGACCTACATTGTTCTGTCACAAGCCCTAGGTAACTGGGCGGATTGGCTCTTGCCCTTGTGGTGGCTCACCCTTTGGTCGCCCTTAAACTGCACGGGCTCTCATGGGTCCAAACACCGCAGGTGTGGGTGCAAGTGAGCTTGTACCGCAAGAACGTCATCTACAAAAAGATCTGCAGGCCTCATCACATTATAGTGGATCACGATGCATGCGTGCTCTTCCAGGAACACCTGCAGCGGCTTCCCCACCCTTCTCTGCCGGCACACTTGGGGTGACGCCTTCCCTTCCAGCGTTCCCTGGCAAAGGCTTGTTGTTGCCGTTGAAACTCCTAAATTATGTATGTACCTTACCGTCTTGATGCGTAACCGAATCACTCTGGTTCGCGGTGGCCACTGCCGGCCGCACTCACTCGCGACTCCGACGACGAGTGTCGTTCGGTCGAAGCAACCGAAGTGCATGGGCAGTCGTAAACGTGGTAGAGGCTTCAAAATCAAATATTGACTAGGTCAAGCACATCAACAGCAAGGCATCAGCGGTCACCGTCAGGAGACAGCAGCAGCGCTTCGTGACGCTCCTGTTGGCTGGCGCACCCGTGCTACGGTGCACGCAGCACTGGCAGAGCCCACACGGCGCAGGCCTGCAGACTTGGAGTCGCAGCCTGCAGATGAGGGAGATGCCAGGGTGCCGATGGTGGCGCCTGGTCGTGGTGGCGCTGCTATTCACTGCGCCAGGGACACAAGGTGAGTGATTGCTGCTGTGAATTCCCGCAATGCTCACAAAGCACACACTGTGCAGCTCAGGAGGAAAGCGACAACAATATCAGATGTATTTTGTCACAATATATACCCTCCATCCCCGCAAGGCTTCCAGGCTGCTTGTGCCACACCTCGCAACTCACTGGATGCGCGCACCCCCAACCCCTTGTGCAGCCGCACGCATCAGCGGGCAGCAGCAGCAGCAGCAGCAGCAGCAGCAGCAGCAGCAGCAGTGGGACAGCAGCAGCAGCAGTGGGCTCGCAGACTTCAGAGGTGACGGCAGCGCCGGGCGCAGGCGGGTGCTGAGCAGCAGGGATGAGCCCACCCACGCGCGGCGGCGGCTGTTGGCGGCGCTCGGTGCTGGCCAGCCTCAAAACATGCTGGTAACATTCACAGTCAGCAATCAGCCCTCACAGGCACCAGCAGCGGCAATGCAAGCGGCAGGGGCGCTGGCAGCGGCAGGGGCTAGCCTAGGAAGCGAGGGGCGGGGCCCGTCACAGGCGCGCTTGGACGCGATCAAAGCCGTCAAAGCGGTCGTATTAGGCGCTGCCGCTCTTGGCGCCCCTGCAAACGGCTCCGCGGCGCTCAGGCCGCAGAGCGACGCCGCCGCAGCGCCCCCGGACGTCTCCGTCACGTCGGACTACCCCATGATGGCGGTTACGCTGGTGACTGTGCGCTCCAAAGTGGGCCTCGCGGCGCTCGAGGCCAACCCCAATGTGGCCGACGTCTTTGAAGACGACGTCGTCACCCTGCAGGACGCCCAGAGCCAGGCGCTGATCAACCAGCCCGAGGCAGCCGCCCTCGGCTACTTGGGGGCGGGCTGCAGCATGGCGATGGTAGACACAGGTGAGGGCTGGGAGGCCTACGTGCGCTGCGGGGCTGCCGGCGTGACGTGCACCGCGGGTGCCGCCCCTTATCAGCGCCCCTCCGCCCCGCACGCGTTTGCGGGCCTTTTGACCATATGGTACAAATCAGGCAGGCGGTGTATGGATGAGGGTGGGGAATCGTGGGTACTGCGACTAAAAGACACCCTGATGTACCCTCATTCGCAGGCCTCAATTACCTGTACCCCGATTTCGGGCCGTGCACCGCCGTCAACACGCCACCCGGCACGTGCCGTGTGGTGTACATGCATGACTTCAATGCCCAGGGGGATGACGGCGAGACAGACGACAGGACACGGCATGGCACGTGCACATCCGCCATCGCCGCTGCGGTGCGCAACTCAGGGACACCCCGCCCCAGGGCACTGCGCTGGCAGCTGTTAAGCAGGGCCCCGCCATGCGACTGCAAAAGACTCACATGCACACATGCAGGAACACACACGCGCCTCACATTGTGTCTGCTGTGTGACTCACACAGCAGAACGTCACATGTCAGTTGACACGCCATCCAATCACAGCGTTCAAACCCCCCACGCCCCACTTTCGGCGCGCTCAGGTCGCCCCAGGCGCCAAGTTGCTCGGCCTCGACATCTTTGGCGTCAACCCCAAGACGGGCGACATCGAGGCGAACACGTCCGACTACATCGGGGCCATCAACTGGGCGATCGCCAACAAGGATGCCTACAACATATGTGTGATCTCAATGTCCTTCGGCGGCGCTAAGTCTTTCTCCAAGCCCTGCGGCACGCTGCCGGACGCGATCGCCATCCAGGCGGCGCGCGACGCCGGCATCGTCTCCGTCGTCTCGTCGGGCAACCAGCGCTTTAAGAAGGGGCTTTCCCAGCCGGCCTGCGCCCCCGCGGCCGTGAGCGTCGGCGCGGTGTACACCTCCTCTGGCGGCTCTGGCGGCGGCGGCAACTGCTTCGACAGGGGCCCGCTCGCCGCCGACCAGGTCACTTGCTACAGCAACAGCGCGTCGTATCTCACGATGCTCGCGCCCGGGGATTACGTGACCGCGATCGGCATCACGCAGTCCGGGACCAGCTTCGCCGCGCCCCATGTGTCGGGGGCCGTCGCCGTGCTCAAGGCGGCGGCGGCGTGGGCGACGCCCGATGACATCCAGTCGGCGCTTACTAAAGCAGGCAAGCCCGTTTTCGACAAAGCCAACAAGATCACCAAGCCTCGGCTGGACCTTCTGAGATCTCTCAACATCCTCCTGGATGGCGCCCTGCTGACCATCAACGGCGGGGCCGTCGGCACCAACCTCCGCGCCGTGTCGCTCAGCCCTGTGCTGCTGCGGAGCGCCCCCGCGGGGGCCACGTGGTGCGCCAGCGACACGAACGCCAGCCCCAACGACTGCTGCGCGACGGCCGCGTTCACAGGCGGCAACCTCACGGCCACCCTGGCCAGCCCCGGCGACGGCAACAAGACCGTAAACTTCTTCCTGCGCGGCGGGGACGGCTGCGGCGCCCCGCTGATTGCGAAGGCGCAGGCGTCGATCTTGCTGGAAGCGACGCCGCCCTCCAATGTCAACATCACAGTGGTCCAGGGCGCCACCTATATCGACGGCGTCGGGTACCTGACGACTAACAAGGTCCAGGTCCAGATCACCGCCGAGGACGCCGGCGGCGTGACGCAGATGTGCATCAGCTACAGCGCGAGCGCCAAGGCGCTGACCAAGTGCAAGTGGGAGCCGTTCTCGCCGGCGCCGGTGGCGCTGAAGCTCAAGACGTTCCAGGGCAGGCACGTGCTGCGCGTCACGGTGCGCGACACGTTCGGCAACGAGGCGTCGGCGGAGCAGCAGCTCGTGCGGGACACGGTCAAGCCGAAGATGAGGGGCAAGCTGCAGGGCGTGGCCGGCGGAGGCGGCAACATCTCGTTGTCTTGGACCGCGGCGGAGGATGCGGTGGGCGTCGCGGCGTACATCCTAGTGTACCGCCCCGCGAAGCTCGCGCCGCCCTCTCAGTGCTCGACGGCCCCGCCGGTGAACGGCCCCTGGCCGCCGGCCGTCATCCCTGTGCCGCTGGCGCCTGGGCCTGGGGTCTTGTCCGCGGACGTGGGGGGGCTGATGACAGGGACTTACTACTCATTCCGTCTGTGCGCGCGCGACGCCGCGGGCAACGTCGCCTCAGGGCTCACGTGGGGCCAGCAGCTCGCGTGAGCGGCTCAGCCTCCTGGTAGCATGTCGCGCGTTGCTGCGACGTCGTTGTATAGAAAGCATCCGTTGCGGATGGCCCTTGCTTTTTATGCCTACCGGCGGTGGTCTACTGATCAGGCACTGCCTTGCCCTGCGCGCCAATAAACGCTCCCAGGCGTCCATTGATCCTGGCCGCGATTATTTATTCATCTCTCAGCGCGATTGGGTTCACTTGCTGTGCTGCACTGGTAATAAGGTTGACCTCCTTTGTACAGGTGGCCGTGTGGGTGTTGGCAGCAACCACGCTGAGTGCTAACGCAATGGGATGGCGTCGACAATGCGCCAACGCCCCCAGCGGGGTGTGCCGGCACGCTAGCGCCAGGCAGCACATGTCGGGCCATTTTGTCCCCAAACCCTGGAGTCAAGCTTACCGTATCGAGGCAAGCTGATGCTGGTGTAGCAAAAGAGGATGCCTGGCTTTTGCTGGTCAGGCCTGATTGTCGCCACGCCCCCAGGTGGCTGGCAGGTGCATTGACCTGCGGGTGGCTGGGCACCGATGAACTGATGAACCAAAGCGCCCATCACTAGGAAGCGGTGCTGACGGTGCCTTTGGCAGTTATCTTTTCAACGCGTCGACCGCTGTTGCTCGTTCCTCGGACGACCTCTCAAAAGCAACGTCCCTTCACGGGTGCAGAGTCTCCTTCGGCTGTGGGCTTCCGCCACCGCATGGTGACGATTGAAGTGTTTAGAGTTTCTTCAATTAAAATTCTCGCTCGGCGAGGCCTAACTTCGCCGGTCACCAGTGAACTGCAGCAGGGTGATAGTGCCGCAGCCCAAGCGCACGGTGGCAAAAGGCGGCAGCGGTTGCGAGCGCCGCTGGCGCCTGCACCGGCGCATGGCTTGCGTGGCGCATGGACGTGTGCGGCGACTGGCGGGGCTGGGGCTGCTTCTTGTGATGGCTGCCACTGTGCCCGGTGAGCATCCTCGCCTTCATGGTGACCATGGCAACTGTGACTCGCAGCCGACATCCCTGCAGATGACTCCAAAACGGTCGCTGGTGGGGAAAAGTCTGTGTGGCTTGGTGTATGTATCTGCTGTGTGCGTTGGGGTGCTTGCTTCCAGCCTCTGCACCCCGCTTCTGGTGCCTGAACAGGTGCAACTGCTGCTGTCACTGAGACCAACCAGCAGCAGCGGCGGCAGCAGGACCAGGAGCAGCAGCAGCAGCAGCAGCAGCCGCAGGCGCAGCAGGAGCAGCCGCAGCAGCAGCCGCAGGGCAGTGGTGCAGGAGGCAGAAGCAACGAATTTGCAAACAACAACGGCCACTTGCGGGTTGACGCCCATAGTGAGCCGCTGGCCGTCCACAGCCCCGCAGCCCAAGCCCGCTCTGCGAGGCGCCGCATGCTTGAGGCGCTGGCCGCGGGTGCTCACCACAACCTCCTGGTCACGTTCAATGTCGACAGCCAAGCGCAGCAGTCGCAGGCGCCCGCGGCAGGCGCGCCGGCGGGCGCGAGGGCCCCGGCCACTGCTGCGCGCCTGAGCGCATTTGCCAGCGCCAAGGCGGCTGTTTTTGGGTCTAGGGCTCTCGGGGTCGCGCCTGCCGCCGCAGGGGGAGGTGCGCAGCGCGCCGCGCCGCCGGATGCGTTCATCAGGGCAGACTACGATATGCTGCCCGTTGTGCTGGCCACGGTCACCAGCCAAGCGGGCCTGCGGGCGCTGGAAGCCGACGCCCGCGTGGCGGGCGTGTTCCCAGACTTTCTTGTGGAGCCGTCAGACGTATTCAGCAGCCCGCTCATCAATCAGCCAGCGGTGGTGGCCCAGAACATCACCGGCGCGGGCTGCGCAATCGCCGTCGTCGATACAGGTTGGCGGGACGCGTGTGCGGGCTGGCCGGACGGGGCTGGGAAAGCAGGGGGTAGTGAGAACAGCAGGGGCAGCGAATTGTGCATGTGTGTAGAGGGGAGAGAGAGCGGCGAGGATAGCACAGTGGCTTCATCACACGAGTTGATGTATGGGGCCTACCTAGCAGCCAATGTCGAGTTTTGCCTTGTGCTGGGCAGCACAGCGGCTGATTATTATGGGGCGCGCCCGCGTGTGCTGCGGCATCGAACGCCGGGCCTGCCATGCTGCATGGGGCTGGGCGCCCTGAGGGTTGGTGCCCTACTGCTGCGAGGGTTTAACGGGCAGAGCACCACGGCAGCACCATGGAACACGCGCTGCTGCTGCCTCGCCCCGTCCCGCGAGCAGGCCTGGACTACACTCAGCCCATCTTCGGCCCCTGCACGGCTGTCGGCAAGCCTGCTGGCACCTGCCGCGTGGTGTATGCACAGGATATCACCGCTGCAGGCGATGATGGGATGCTGGACGACTACACCAGGCATGGCACGTTTGTTGCAGCCGTTGCAGCCGAGGTGCGGGCCTGGTTGCGGGTCCCCTGTTGATTCCGAATGTGTGCATGCGCGTGGCTCGTCTGTATGAGGGGGCAGGGGCGGGTTGCGTGCGTGCGCGCAAGCACGCGCGATTGCGCTGTGAATATAAGAGTGCGTCCATTCACGGTTGCAAGTGCCCGTGTGTGTCTAAGCGTGTGAGCATCTGTGCGTGAGCAGCTGCAAGACATCCACACACAATGACAACCCTGACCCCTCACTTAACCCTTTCGCCCCACTCCTCGCGGCCCTTGCTCCACCCATTTACCCCAACCAGATCGCGCCTGGCGCCAGCCTGATCGGCCTGGACGTGTTCTACCCCAACCCCAAGACCGGCGCGCCGGCCGCCAACATATCCGACGTGATCGGCGCCGTCAACTGGGCGATCGCCAACAAAGACACCTACAAGATCTGCGCAATCAACCTCTCGCTGGGCACCAACAAGGCCGTGTCCAAGCCCTGCGGGCAGCAGCCCGCGGCGGTCGCTATCCAGGCGGCGCGCGACGTCGGCATCGTAACCGCGGTCGCCTCCGGCAACGAGAAGTTCAAGCGCGGCCTGGTGCTACCGGCGTGCGCGCCCGCGGCGGTCAGCGTGGGCGCGGTGTACGTCGCGAAGTTTGGGTCCTCTGGCTGCAGCAAGGACGCCCCCGTTTTGCCGGACAAGGTCACCTGCTACAGCAACAGCGCGTCGTACCTCACGATGCTCGCGCCTGGGGACTCCATCTTCGCGGCGGGCTCGACGGTTTCGGGCACGAGCTTTGCCGCGCCGCACGTGGCCGCCGCGGTCGCGGCGCTGAGGCAGGCGGCGCCGGGGCTGGCGGCGGACGACATGGTGGGGGCGCTGACAAAAGGCGGCAAGCCGATCCTCGACAAAGCCAACAAGATCACCAAGCCTCGGCTGGACATGCTCAGGTCGCTCCAGATCATCCAGAACGGCGCCCTGCTGACCATCAACGGCGGCGCAAATGGCACAAACTCCCGCGCTTTGTCGCTGAGCCCGGTGCTGCTGCGGAGCGCCCCCGCCGGGGCCACCTATTGCGCCAGCGATACGAGCGCCAGCCCTGACGACTGCTGCGCGACGGCGTCTTTTACGGCGGGCAACCTCACGGCCACCCTGGCCAGCCCCGGGGACGGCAACAAAACCGTAAACTTCTTCCTTCGAGGCGGGGACGGCTGCGGCGCCCCGCTGATTGCAAAGGCGCAGGCGTCGATCTTGCTGGATGCGACAGCAGTGTCGCTGACAGTCTCAATCACCGCGGGCGTAACCGTGACCAACGGCCTCCTCGTCATCACGGACCCCAAGAGCCAGATCCAGATCCAGATCACCGCCAGCGATGCAAACGGCCTCGGACAGATGTGCATCACCCAGAGCGCGAGCGCCAAGGCGCTGACCAAGTGCAAGTGGGAGGCGTTCTCGTCGGCGCCGTTGACGGTGGCCCTGAAGGGATTCCAGGGCAACCATACTTTGCGCGTCGCCGTCAGGGACGCGTTTGGCAACGAGGCAACCTGGCAGCAGATCCTGATCCGTGACACGCGCGCGCCGGCGCTCAAACAGTTCAAGGGCGTGCAGAGCGGCCCCACTTCTTTCGAACTGTCGTGGGCGCCGGGGAGCGACGCCGTGTCAGGCGTCGCGTTTTTCACTTTGGTGTACCAAGCCGGCTCCACCGCGCCGGCGGCGCGGTGCCCCGGCGGCACGGCCGTCCCCTTGGCGCAGGGGCCCGGCGTGCTGTCTGCGACCGTGGCGGGCCTGGCGGCCGGCGGCACGTATTCGTTCCGCCTTTGTGCGCAGGACGCCGCGGGCAACGTGGCCAACGGGGCTGTCTGGCGGGGCAAGCTCAAATAATTGCGGCCCCCAGCCGCGACCAGGGGCGCTCGCATATTGTGCAGGTGCTCCACTGCATGATTCGCTGGTCACATTCTGCCTGTCTGAAGTTGGTTGCACTCGCACATCTGATCATGCTGCGGTGTATTGTTTTCTGTTGCCACAGGGTTCAGTGAGACTGCAAACGCGCCAGCTGGGGCTGGCCATAGTGTGCGCTGCGCATCCCCAACACCTGGGGGCGACACATGCCCGGCGTTGTGCCCCGTTCACATGCGGAACCGCTGCGTCCGTGCCTGCATGTCGCGTGACAGGCAGGCGGCACAAAATGCAGGCGGCTGCATAAGAGCATTGTGTTGAAGCATTATCCACTTTTGACATCTAGGATACAGCAGAGCACTTGTACTTGGCCTTTTTCGTTATCTTGGGAGTTTGACAACTTTTTGGTCAAGGCGCCGACAGCAACAGCACGGTCAGGTGTGGTGTGCTGCCCGCGGCAGTTACTCTGCCCATTTCCAGCTTTCTGGAGGCCAACAGACCACTGCGACTTGTTCCTTTTGCAGGAATTCTTCCTCCTCTGCCACCCTGCCTTCGGGTTCCTACCACACCAACCAGCTTGCACGTTGTTCTTATCAAGGCGTTTTCTTTCGAGCTGCCTCCTTACGCTGCTGCAGCTGACTGCAACTGGCCGACTGGCTGCGTGAGACAAGGTTGCTCATTGTATCGAGAGGTAACAACATGATTTCAACAGCAGTAAGAGCACCAACCCCGTCAAAGCAACTGCATTTGGGCAAAATACGACACAGTAATCAGCGAACAACAAACAAGTTTCAAATCTCAGAAACGATGGTGTTGACCTCTTCAGTGTCTAGGCCACTGCTGCGCAAGCACCGAAAAGCCACGTGCATACCCGCAGCAATTGGGTAGCAACCTCTTTAGCGGCTTTGCAGGCCGCGTGCCGTACGCGGCAGCAATGCCGACGCAACAGTGCCAGCTCGCCTGGCCTCCCCATTAGTCAAGCTGCGCCATGCCACAAAGCCGACCGGCGCCAAGCAGCGGCGTCGGCGTCGGCGGCGTCAGCGGGTGCACGGCCGCCCCCACCGGGGCGTCAGCTGCCCCGCCGCGGCAGGGGCACGAAGCAGGTGCGCTCCAGCTCTTCTAAAGACTCTGCGTAGTAGCCCAGCTCAAACGCCCGCGCCAGGCGGCCTGAGGCCGGGCAAGTGTGTGTGTGTGTGTGTGTGTGTGTGTGTGTGTGTGTGTGTGTGTGTGTGTGTGTGTGTGTGTGGTTGGGCGGCGTCAGAGGGGCGCTCGTGCGGCAAGGGAGCGTGGGGCGCCCAGGGCTGATGTGGCAACGCGGGACCATGGAAGGGCTGCCTGTGACTTTGCGCCAGCCGGGTAGACGGCCGGTCTGTCCAGGCAGGGCTGCTCTGCGCACAGTCAGCATATGGAGACGAACCGAAGCACACGCTGCTCAAGCAGCCGCCGCGCACAGCCACCAAACAACGCCGCGGCCCAGGCCCCCGGCCGGCACACCTCCCCAGTCGCCCTCGGCCGCTGTGGCGGCGTCCTCTTCGTCCTCGCCCTCGCCCTCGCAGGGGGGCAGGCAGACGCTGCGCAGGTCGTCGCGCACTGTGCCGCTGATGGGGCAGACCAGCAGCCCGCTCGTGCGCTCCAGGACGTGCTCCCTGCAGGATGGTGCCGGCCCACGCACGCATTTGGATGTGGATAGAAGCAGGCAAGGAAACACCCATCAGGCTGTTCCAAGTTCTTGCTGACACGAGAGATGGTGTGCATACAAGGCAATTGACAAGTGGACAGAAACGCAGCCGCATGGAAACGGCCTGGACCATTGCTGGCGAAAACAACCCAGTGCCAAAGCGCTGGTGATGCAACACATACTGCGGCCCCCGCAGGTTCTTGGTGTGCCTTGCTCACGTGCAGGTACTGTCGCACACGTGCACATCGCCGGTCGCCTCACAGCAGTAAACGTCACCGGCGCCCGCGACGCGGCACCATCGGTGCACCCCCGCGAGGTTGCCTCCCTGCTGCTGTGACGCCTGCTGCTGCTGCTGCTGCTGCTGCTGCTGCTGCCGCTGCTGTGGCAAGGCCAGCAACGGCGCGTGTGGCGGAGCCGGGTGCCGCTGCCTGGGCGGCTGGGGCCTCATCGCGAGTGTGGGGCTGCGTTGAGCAGCGGCGGCCCGCCGCGGCAAGCACTGTGCCCCGGCCGCTGATGCTGCTGGGTGCCTCGCCTGCGCGCTGCCTGTGCGGACGCCAGCCCGGCGGCCCTGTGGCAACCCTGCCCCGGATTTCAGCGGCGCAGGCGACCTTGCCTCGCCCACTGCTGCAGCTGGGCCGCCGGGCGCGAGGCCTTGACCAGCGGCCGCCTGCTCGCGCCCCGCGTCTGCCCCGGCGCCCGGCGCCGGCGCCGGCGCGCCGCTGCCGGCCCCCACGCGCGACAGGGGTGCAAAGCCGCGCGCCGCGCGCCACGCCTCGACCCGCCGCGCCACGTCATCTGTCACCTGCCGGGGCCCACGATAAGGACGCGCTGGGGCTCACGGCATAGCACACAGCGACCAAGCGACGAGGCCCGCCATTCCCCTAAGAATATGTCGCCGCCGCCCAGGGTGTTGCGGGCCCCGCACATGCGCCCTCTAACAGCCTGATGAGCAAGCGTGCAGGTCCACCCCAAAACCCCGCACGCTAACCACACAACCCCAAATCCCCACCTCCATCGGATCGTCCACGTGCGCCCGCCCCAGCGCCCGCTGCCGCTTCGCCAGCTGTGCCTCGACAAACGCATCCGCCGCCGCTGCCGCCGCGAGGCCGCCGCCGCCTGCGCTGCCCTCCCCGTCGCCGCCGCTGCCGCCGCCCGCCCCGAGGGCGCGCGCCCGCGCCTCCGCCAGCTCAGCGAGGTCCCGCTCCACATAGCGCGCCTGGTGATGAGACCGATAACGAGGGTGGGTCGTGATCGAGATTCAGACGGACGGGCGAGCCAGGGTGGGCAGTCAAGCAGGCGGGTTTTGCAGGGCTTGCGGCTCCAACTGTGTGCAAAAATGCCCGGCAATGGCTGCAGGGGTGTGGGCGCGGCAGGTGCGGCAGGTGAGGCAGGTAAGGGAGTTGCAGCCGCCCTGGCGCACCTTCCAGGTCTTGGGCGGCAGCTGCTGCGGCCCGCGCGGCTTGCCCCACCGTGCGCAGAACAGGCGCCGCCACAGCGTCGGCTCGTCGCTGAGCGAGCGCAGCAGCGTGGAGGACCGAGCGGCGGCCGCCAGGTCCTGGGCTGATAGGAAGCTGAGCAGGCGCACGAGCAGCTGCAAGGGCAGCGCCTGCAAGGGACAGGCGCCGCTGCCGGGTGCCTGGGCGGCCGGCGACGGGACCTGGGGCACCGGCGACGGAGCGGCAGTTCGCACTGCGGCAAGCGGCGTTGCCACAGGCGGTGCTAACGCTGCATCTGGGTCGCACGAGTGCCGCTGCGTCTGAATGCACTGAGGTTGATGCTGCATGTGCTGCGGCTCTAGGTGCGATCGCAGGTCATGCTGCGATCGCTGCTGCTGCTGCTGTGCTGTACTGCGCGCGCGCTTCTTTGAGGGCGGCCGCCGCCGTCGCGGCGAGCCCTCGCGTTCCATGACTCCGTGTGCATAGTTTAGCTCGTAGCTATAGCTGAAACCGCTGCTGCGGTCTGAGAGCGGGCTCGGCTGGGGGGACGTTTCAAGCTCTAATGCCTCGTTGAGTTCAGCATCGTCCCAATGTTGCACCGCCATTGCTATACTCCTCACGGCTACCCCTGCTAGGGGTGATCTGGTAGGCTGGTGCACTGGAGCGCATATCATGCACTGTGCAGCCGCATCCACACTGTGCTGTTGTGGTTTGTGAATCTCACTTATGCAGGCTGGTATGCACAGGTTGCCACAGGCAGTACGCGCAGCCGCCCACCCACCCAGTTCCCTGCCACGCATGGCTGGTGACATAGGTGATGGAGCTGGTGCCTCGCGTGGCAGCGAGGGAGGTGTGGCGCCCCTATGCCAACCCTTGCATCGGCGGCTACTCTCCAGGTGATGTGATACACCGCTATTGTTGCCTTGCTTCGATGCTGAGCTTGATTTATGGAGGCTTTCAGGTGGCGCGATCCAGTCATGGCCGCACCATCCCAGAAGAGCTGTGCCATGGCCTAGGAGTTGCACTGATTGTATCGATTAATCATCCACCACCCGCATCAGCAGCACCAGTGACAAGTACGGCGCTGTTCAGAGCATCTAGGATGCCAGTCAAATAACATGTATCGTGCCTCCGCCAGTCTGCCCGAAACAAAACCCGCCCCAAACTCTCATGACCCTCGTGGATGTGGAACCACTCTCACCCCTCAGGTCGGAGGCACCCCTTAAAGCGTGCGGCTTGCACGTCACATGCGGTGCTCACGGTTGCCCGCCCCCGCGCACCAGCGACCTCCCCTCAGAACCACACACCAATCAAATCTGGAAGTTTAGCCCGAGGTAGAAGACGTACATTGCAGTTAGGCTGGGCACTAGTAAATACCCCACGCAAGCGCGGGATGCGCGCACACACCCTCCAGCTGCCACCATTCAAACCGAGCCGCGGTCACCGTGCCCACTGCTGCTGTTCTAAGTACTCTTCGTCCTCCGCCGCCCCGCCCTCGACGTCCCCCTCGCGCTCAACCTCGCCGCAACCGCTGTAGGCGGCGCCCTCATCGCCGTCTTGCAGGATTCCTGCCTGGGCAAACTGCCCGCTGCCACCGCCGTCATCGCCGCCGCCACCGCCGCCGCCCCGGCCCCCGTCGCTTCCGCGACTCCCGCTGCTGCGCCGGCTGCCGGTGCGCTGCGCGGGGCGCGCTGCCTCTGCTGCTCTCGGCGCCGCCGCTGGTGCTGCGCGTGCTGTGCGGCCGGTGGCGCATCCGTCGGCATCGGTTGACCGCTTGGACTGCAAATACAGGGCATTCACAGCAGGTTGAGATGGCACCAGTGTGTGTTGCTTCAAATCGTTGCTGCATATTTGCAGCTTTTCAAAACGTTTCCCTTCAAACGCCGTGAAGCCTGCTCACGAACACGGACACACACATTCACACAAACACACACACACACAATCACACAATTACACGCTCGAACTCAACACCAGGCACTTGGACGCGCATGCACACACAGAGGAAGCTCATACGCTTTTATCGCAAGCAGGACAGCCAACCGCACCCCGCCGCGGCCGCGCCGCGCCTCACTTTGGAGCGCTCCATCTCCCGCCATATCGCCTCCACCGCCTGCGAGTCCGCCTCGTGCTGTCGCTGCAGCCTCTCGAGCCGCAGCACGCTGGCGCTTGCCGGCCCGCTGACCTGCGGGTGCAGCAGAGTGTTGCCGCCGGGTGCGACGCCGACATGCGTCCGGAACGGGATGACGGGTGCATGCCAACCTGTGACCCTTGCGAACAGCATAGCAGACCTGCCACACGCCCAGCTGATCAGCCAACGCCCAAAACGAGAGCGACTGCCCGACTCGCGAGATTTTGGGGCCAAGCCCCTCACAATGCGCACCTCTACGCCGCCCATCACCACCGCAGTCGCCACCGGCCCCGCTCCCACCGCCGCTGGGCTGTGCGGCTTCTTGCGCGCCGGCTCCGGCCGGGGCACGCTCGCTTTTGCATACTCGACCGCCCGCTCCCGCGCGCTCTGTTCCTTGCCCGCCACGCCGCCGCCGCCGCCGCCGAGCCCCACGCTGCCCATGCTGCCGGCGCTGCCGCCGCCGCCGCTCCTCGCGGGGCCCCTGCCGGCGCTGCCGATCGACGCCGCCGACGAGAGGCGCTGCTGGTTGGTGGCGTTGATTTGGCGGGACAGCTGCTTGATGCGCTCGCTGTTCTCGCGCTGTGGGGCGGGGCAAGGCGGGCAGATGTTCAGGGATTGAGCCCACAGACAATGAGAGCTCTCCTGCCATGGGGTTGGGCAGCCGCCCCCACCCCTTGAAAGGCCGCCCCGCCGCGCCGGCCGCTGGCCATGGCGCCGAGCCGACGCCCCTCGGCTCCTGCGCCCCCTGCGGCCCCCCGCGGCGACGTCGAGCCCTCCGGCGCCCCGCTCGGCCGGGCCCGCGCACCTTAGCCTGCAGCTCGGCGTTCTCGTTTTCGGGCCCCAGGCGCCCCAGCTGCCAGTACCCGGGGGCCTGCTTCACGTCGTATGCCCGCTCCTCGTAATCGCGCATCCCATATGGCCTGGGTGAGGCAAGGCGAGCGGGTGGAGTTGGATTCGGTGAGGTGGCATGGGGTGGGGGTGTGGGGTGGGCAGTGGAGTGGGTCATGTGGGACGGGGGAGGGTAGCAACGTGTGGGTTTGGGCGAGGCAGGGCGGGCTGGTGGGAGGGAATGCAACCGAGGCCCAGGTGCTGTGCGATAGGGCCTGCGCATCTGCTGGTGGGCGATTGACCCCCACCGCCTCGGCGTCGCAGGAAGACTCGACGGTGCATACATCAATTGGAGGCCCGCCCTCTCACTTGTCAGAGGCACCATCCTGGTCGTTGGCCCCCCATTTCTGTCGCCTGCACACTTCCCAACCAACCCAGCCGCCGCCCACCTGTACTGAACCGGCCGAGGCTTCTTGCTGTAGGCAAGCTCGTCAGGCACCGCCGCCCCGCCGCCGACGCCGCCGATGACGCCGCCGCCGCCGCCACCAAGTACGCCCCCACCGCCGAGGCCACTGCCGAGCAGCGTGCCCAGCTGCTGCGCCAGCGCGGGGTCCGCCACGCCTGTGGCCTGCAGCTGCTCTGCTAGTGCGGCTGCACAGGCGGGTACACGGGCACAGCAAGACGCCGCTGGACATGAGGTTTGCATGCAGTCAAAACCGCAGGAAACTTGCAACTGCCCCGCAAAACTTGCTCACTTTCAAACACCATGCGGGCCGCGCGCTTCACGTCGCGTCGTCGCCAGATCATGCGCACCTATGTGCTTCTTTTTGGACGCTGGGGGCAGCCCCTCGGCCGCCGCCACTTGCTGCTGGATCAACATCTGCTGCTGCCACGCCACCATCGCAGCCTGCTCTGGCGTGAAGCCATAGGCCCCGCCGGGGCCGTCCCGCGCAGCCGTGGGGCGCTCATTGGTGCTGGTGGCGGCCAGGGACGACCTGTGGGGCCGGCTGGGGTTGTTGGGGCCAAGCAAGGAAACAGGCTAGGGGCGCACGCACGCGGTGTGCCTCCATGAATGCATGGCAGACGGGCTGCATGCGGATGCTGCTGTACCCATACTGCCGGGCCCATGTTGCCACATGTCACAAAATACTGATGATGTTTTGTACCGCCCCAAGTTGGACGTCCCAGCGGAGCCTCACGTGTATGCGTCGCTGTTTATAAACGCGTACAGCAGCTGCAGCACCTCGCTGGCCGCGTCGCCGTCGGCGCTCATGACTGCCTCGATCTGTTTTGACTCCACGGGGATGCTGCGCTTCTGCGGGCGTGGTGTGACAATCGCGCAAAAGTGTGCTGTCGTGGTGGCGCACACCCGGCTGCTCGAGCGTTCCGTTCGCACCGGCGCTCCTGCGCACCTTGAACAGCTTCTCCAGGACCACCCAGTTGGCGCGCTTGAGCTCGGTGCTGGTTACATTTTCGAAGGAGTGCATCTCGATGTCGCTGGGGTAGTAGCGCGACAGCACCTCGGCGAACAGGAAGCCATTTGCAAAGTCTCTGCATCACGGTCGGACCAGTGGTAAGTGACGCGAGAGGCGAGAAAGATACATTCACGCTCACCGTAAATATGCAAACATAGAGATGGTCCTGTGTTGATCTGCCCCAGCCCGAGCAACCAGATGTGCCAGCCCGGACCCACCTTTTGACGTTGCGCACGGGATATGACAGGTCTAGGCTAAGAAGCCATTTGAGGACCTCCCTGGGGAGGTTGGTCAGCGTGGCCATCACACCACGCTCTGATGTACGCTGCACGTGTGTTGTGCTGTTGTCGAATTTGATGCTTTGAGGTGCGCGTGGTTTGTTGAGAGAAATCTCAGCTCTTGTTCACATTTTTGAGATTCAGTGCTGCAGTGGCATTATCATTTCTCTCTTGTGTATGATTGTTGGTGAGTTGACCGGTTTGACCAGATTGTTCAGAGCCATTTTGATGAGCAGCCGGCTCCGTGGTGTGCCCAGAGTAGACACCCGTTGCCGCAAAGTCAAATTATTACAGATTCAGCGCAGATGGAAAGTACTGGGCCAGTGCTTGTTGGTCAAATTTTCCAATGCCAGATGCATTTGAAAGTGCACGGATAGCAAGTCAGAAGCAACAACCTGCAAAGACCCTGCTTGTCTTGCCCCCAATGCCTTTCCAATGTTTGATTGGGCTCATGGATTGGTATGAGGTGCACAACGACAAGGTTTCACACGCGTGCAAGAGGCACTGCGGCGTCAGCGGCTGACGCCGCAGTTCCCATGGCTGACTGCTCAGGTCGCGGGAGAGGCAGATGGGACGGGCTGCAAGGCCTTCTTGAGCATTGCCTGGGCCTTGGCAGCGCTGGGAGATGCCTCGCCGCGCTCCAGGTCCAGGTAAGTCAGCGACAGCCTCACATTGTGCTGCATGACGGCAAGGCAGGGGGACCGACAGCAGATGTATAATAGTCAGTGAGCTGCAGCGGCGCCAGCTGAAACAACTCCAAACCACTGAACCACCACATGCCCCAAGTAAGCACATCACTTTTGGAATAGAGACATGGCGTCAACGATGTTGATGCGTTGAGATGAGCCACGTTTGCTGATGCCGGGCAGCAAGTGCATTTATGACGGCCAGTGCCGGCCTCACCCCAGCAAAGTTGATGGACATGCCGTCCACCACCTCATCCAGAACTTGCAGGCCCAGCGTCATCCTTGGGGGGGAGTGCCAGCAGCGTCGGAAAGGAATGAAGCGGCCATTGTGCGTACGACCAGCGGGCGGGCGGGGATGTGGGGGGCCGCTGAGCGCCTTCAAGCCTCTGTTGGTATTTTGCCCTCGGCGACTTCAGACGGACCTTGGCTTGTCCCTCCCGTTACCACGCCGCTCTGCTCCCTTCAGCCCCTACATGTTGAAGTAGATGATGCGCTCAACCTCATCGGGAAGCCACCAGATGTTGACTTCCTGCCGGCACGTGTGCGGTTGAAGGTGTGGGCACAAATTTCGAGGCAAGGGCTGGCCTGAGCCGGCGGGTGGTTGAGGGTCTGCCCTGGCACGGCTGTCGAAGTTCCCTGCCCATTGAGGAATGTCAGCTGCATTTGCCAAATAGGGACACAAGCACCTTGTTGGCCAGCATCTGGTCCACCATCCCCAGGATCACGGCCTTGTTGATGCCCTGCACAAGGTGGGGGGCGGCTTGCGTGTGGTGGGCATGCGCACAGGCGCCATTAGGAGGCCAAGGCTTCTCAGGCACGGCCAGGCAAGACACGGAACACTTTCCAACCCCCCAGAGTGGCGCCCTTTCTACCTTTGTGAAGCGCAGCCGCATGCCTGGGACGGGGACGCGCAGCGTGGCATGACGTTGGTGGTGCATGCTTCCACCATCCTGGTGCATGAACCCTAGCATCACAAAACCCCACCTGTACGCACATGAGCACGACCCACGTACTCGCGGCGACACGCGCCTTCACCCACATTGAAGCGCAGCGACGCGCAGGTGCGGGCGCAAAATGGAGTCGTCCACGAGCGCCATACATCCCCGCATGCTCACCCTTGTAAGCCAAAGGCTCCAACTTGACCATCAGCTGCTGCAGCTCCTCCACCTGCACGGTGAAGTTGAGTGCAGGTTTTTGCGCCACACGGAGATGTGCTTGGGCAAGCGCTTTGTATAAGAGGCAGTCAACCTGCGCGTCGCTGCTGCACAAGCAGTCTGCTACCAACTGTGCAGCCCTCATTCCCACCACACCTTCTCCCGCAGCTGCCGGTTCTCAATGCTTGTGCGGTTGGGGTCAAAGTCTTTCCGCAGCGTGTCTGTGGCGATCTGTGCATTGCCCAAGGGAAAGGCGGGCAATGTGAGTTGCGCAGCAGCAGGCCCAAAAGGCAGGGTGGTGCTCGAGTATGCATGAAGTCACTGTGGCGCATAAATCAACAAAATTATGAGAGTTCCAAGATCTCTCTGTTGATGACGGCTTCACGGGCAGGACCCTCAAAATGCACCGTCGTTTGACATACGTGCTTGGGGGACCTACAGCTGCTTACTATGCTGGTGCCGAGTCAGTGACCATATGCAGCCACCACAAGCAAGATCGAGCCACGCACCTTTGATACAAAGAGGCCCAAGAGGATGCCGGCGGCGATGACGCCCAACAGGGCCCACCACGGCCACCAGCCAACAGCCTGCCACCACGTCACCGCCGCTCCGCCAACCTTGGCTGCCACTCCCGCAGCCGCGGCTCCCAGGCCTGCGGCCTGCACAGTTCGCCGCCGCGCCTGAGGCATGCTACCAGCAATAGATGGTGTCAGGAAGGCCTTGCGTGTCGCCGGCATGGCCGGCATGGCTGGCAAGACCGCGCTGACTGCGACCGCAGCACGCCGCTGCCAAGGGCGGGGTGGTGCGGACGACCGCGGTGCCTGCCATGCACGTGCCATCATCGATGTGGGGCCAATGAGGCTGACCGAGGAGCTCTTAGCGCGCTGCATCCTCGTCTTGCTCGACACTGCGAGCGCGACGACAAATTGTTCGCTTTACGACGACGGTGCACCGGCGCGCGTGCCGTATATGTCGTTATATGAGGTCTGAGAGGTACGGTTGTCAGCTTTGTCGGAGCTTCAAGTCACTGTCACCCGTGCGACCAGGTGGCACCCTTCAGACACCAGTCACCGAACGCCTTCCAAAACACAAAAACGCATGAGGTGGGACAAAACACGTAAAGTATGTGATTGTAGCTTCAAGCGCAGCCGGTAAACGCGTGCTTGACGAGGACCCGAGTACTGCGCTGTCGCGCAAAATCCGCTGTGACTCAGCGACGGGCAGCGTTCTCACAGATCTCCCAAAACCGTCAATATATCAGAGAATATAAGGTGCCATTGTACAACTTTTGCTACCTCGACGGTGATCTTGGTTCTTGGAGGACAACGTGAGGTCCACGGCGCTGAACCGTGCTGGAAGGATGCATCAATGGGTTTGGAAGCTTCACGAAGCGTGTCCCCGCCAGCTCCCGCCTGCGCATGTTCGTGCGGCGCCCGACCTGCGGATGCGCCACCGCTGCAGCTGCTGGCTCCTTTACCATTAAGCCCCTATCCTGCAAGAGGACCGCATCGACCGCGCCCTTACCACTCCACAGGCGCCTCCCTGGGCTTCGCAGCCAGCCAGCCCGCCTGCCGCAGAGCCGCACCAGCGTACGCAGCAATGTCGCGCGTGCAGGAGCTGCACTCTGAGGACGAGTGGGCGACGGCGCTGCAGCAGAGCAAGGGGTTCGGCGGCAAGGCGGTGGTGGTCGATTTTAGCGCCACATGGTGGGATGGCTCTGGGGCAGTTCGATGGGGCGAGGATGCGCGGCGCAGCGGCATATGTGCAGGCACGGCTGTGAACGTTTGTGCGTGTGTCGGCAGGCCAACCTAGTTGGGGTCAGTAGCAGAGGCAGGTTGAGTTTGATGGGACTCGTCTCCATTGGATGCGCAGTCGGCGCTTTTTATGATGCGCCAATGCCGCGGTGGCTTTGCTTTTGTGCCATCTGCCTCGCTCGCACTTCACGCATCGCTATGCCCAAAATGCGACGACGCAAGGTGCGGCCCATGCCAGGCCATCGGGCCGGTGTTTGAGAAGCTTTCCACAGAGTTCACTACAGTGAAGTTCGTCAAGGTATGGAGCAGCGACGCTTTTAGCAGCTCTTCTGTGGCATTGCTGCATGGGTTTCTTGCTGCTATTCCAATCAGGAAGCAGCAGCGGAAGAAGCAGCACCCGGTCCTGCCAGGCAGCACCGTGCTTTGGCTGGCTTGCAGCATGTGAATGCAGGCAGCAATGAACGCAAATGCCATCTTTGCAGCTTGTTGTGTACTATGCATCGTCTGGTCGCGCTTTGTGATCCTCCTCTGTTTACAGTATTGCTGCGCATCGTGGTGCACAAATTCTACGCCAGGTGGATGTGGACGAGCTGCAGGAGGTGGCGGGCAACTGCGGCGTGCGCGCCATGCCCACCTTCCAGGCGAGCAACAACTGACTTCTCCCCTTTCAGACCACTCCGCCGCACCCCGCGACGGAGCAACGTTCCTGCCGCAGTCCAACAGCGTCCTCCAACGCCGCTAATCCGTGCCTGCGCCCTTGCGCCGGCGGAATGAATACATACGGCGGCACGAACGTTGGCGATACCTTCCAAGTGTCGGCTGTGCATAGATCACCAATGCCCTCTTCCTCACCCCGTTTTCAGGCATACTTCAATGGCGAGAAAGTAGATGAGGTGGGTGCTGGTGAGGTCGCTTTGGGGTGTGGTAAGCAAAAGCACGAGCTACTCAACCCCTGTAGTCTGATGCGCTGCCCAACAGTGGGTGTGCGTTTGCGCGCTGTGTTCAAGGGGCTGCTGACCATGCTTTTCTAGGTCCGACTGGGACCCATTTGGTACTCTTTAGTCTGCCTGCAATGGCTCGTTGACGTCACACTCTCCATCCTGTCTCAGCTTTGCACTTGCACCCCACCGATTGTTTACTTGCAGCTGGTGGGCGCTGACCCCTCGAAGCTCAAGGCCATGATCAGCAAGTGCGCTTCTAGAGCTGGCTTGGGTGGCTGACGGGAGACGTGGACCAGGGGGCAGGGGTCTCAGCCACATGCACTGGGTGTTGCACGACAGAAGTGAGCGCGGTGTGGGACACGCATGGCGGGCTGGAACACGCGCAGGCGGAATCGCGCCCCGCAAGCTGACATGCGTGCCACCTCGGCGCCCCGAATCTGCAGGGTGGCCGCCATGCAGGGCGCTCAGGGCACGGGCCAGAAGGTTGGCGGCGCCGGCACCAGCGAGCCGCCTGCGGCTGGCGACGACCTGCGCGCCCGCATGGCCGCGGCGGCCGAGGCGCGGTTCAAGGCGCAGCAGGGCGGAGCGAAGTGAGGGGCCGGCCCTGCGACGTGTGGTTCCACACGCAGCTCGCTGGCAGCGTGGCGCGAGAGCTTGTTGTTGCTGAGGCGAGCGGTGAGGCCTAGGTAGGCGAGCTGCGCCTCATAGTTGGGGGGCTGGCCAGTGGGGCTGAATGGAGAGCCGTGTTGGGCCAGACGCTTTGGTTTAAATTTGACTGGTCACAAGAAGCCCTAGCGGTGATTGAGATGATTGTAAGACCCTCTTCAAGTTCGATTGCTGGCGCGGTCGTGCAAGGGAAAGATCTGGGCTCATCTATGGGATTTGCTGCAAGCAGCCCGCTGCTTAATTGGTCACCCCAAGAGCGACAACAGAAGCGGTGGTGGTCTCTGTTCGTAGTACAATCTGTGTTTGCAGAGTTGCAGTGCCATGTGTGATTTTATTTGATCGGCGACTTGGGCCAAGGGGCGATCTTGTGTAGCATTGACCATGCGGCCTCAGCAGGTGCTCGAGGCGCGTCCAGTGCGGGCTGCAGATCAAGGGCGCACAGCCGTGCAGGCTGTTCAGCTAGAGTCTTGCACTTGGATTCGTGCAGCCTGGATGCTGAACAGTGCCTACCCCCTCTCATCCCGAGGGTCAGCGCCGGGCAACCATGCGGCGAAGCTTCGCGCCCCTGGCCAGCTTCAGCGAAACGCAAGAAATGGGCTCGCCTCCCCCTTGTTTCGGTCACTTTGCGCCAACAACGTGAAGCCAACCCTTCACAATGGCCTCCACCATGAAGATGCGCGCTGCTGCTCCCGCCAGGTGAGCTCGCTGATCTACGGGCCCGCCAGCGTGGTTTCGGGGCCCTGCCTGCGCAGCCTGGCGAGTTCAAGAGGCAACCTTGCCTTTCTACACAAACTCACGCCTGCCCCATTGGCAAATGCGCACGCAGGGCCTTCTCGGTGAGAGCAGTGCTGTGCGACGCTGGAGCCGCGATCGGGGCGTGCATTGCCTCCTGGGTGGTTTCGAAGGCTATTTGACGTTGTCAATTTGCCGTCGGAACCACTGGGCAGTTGCGCGGCGCAGCCTGGGGCCAAACGCCCCGGGAGGAGTCAGCGATCGCAAGCCCCGCTGCACCCGCTGTGGCCCCTGTGCCCCTCCTCTCACCTGATAATTCGCATGATTACCTACTTCCTCTCCTTACGCGCAGGCCCGCGGCGCCAGGCGCTCCCTGGTCGTCAAGGCCGCGGAGAAGCGGATCGTCATTGGCCTTGCTGCGGACTCTGGTGCGCAGGCACAGCGCATTGGGAGGGGCCGGCGTGGGTACAGACCTATGCAGCGGACCGTGGCGGAATGCCTGGCGCACGCCTCCCAGCTCGCCGTTTTTGCGCTTGTCCCTGACGCGATGTGCGACGCCGCCTGTGCTGAACAGGCTGCGGCAAGTCCACCTTCATGCGCCGCGTGACGGGCATCTTCGGCGGTACTCCCAAGCCCCCGGCTGGTGAGGGAGCAGCATCACGGGAAATGGAGTTATGTGCGGACGCAGCCGCTCAGCCAGCAGCACTGGTTAACTCGGATATCATCCGTCTAGGCGCCAGGCGTGCATCGGCCAGACCGCACTGTTGAACGGTCAGCGGGCAGCCACCCACGACCAGGGCGCCTCGAGCGCGGCCCTCTAAACACAGCAGGCAGCGAACACAGCCCGTCATCTGGCACGGCACCCCTGCAGCCATGCGCATGCCTACAACACGCGCCTGCAGTGCGCACCCACCACTGCCGCCCCAGATCCAGCTGGCCGCGCACAGCTGCCTGGCCT